AATATTTCTTATATATATGCCTAATTATAGTACAAATGCTGTTGCTAAAAATGATGCTTTGAAGCCAATTTTGGAGGGATTCTAGGGGCCACACACTAGGCTTTGTGTGTATGTATGGGGGGGAGGGGATAAGTAATGCTTTGACCTGAAGTTGCTGTCTGCTGCAAATCAGAAAATTCCTCCTTCCCACCAGCCAACTTACGAACCACTTATAGATGTAATATTTTCTTTCAGAGTTCTTGGAATTAAGAAGACAAAAAACATAAATGATCATTTGTCTTTGTCTTCTGCTCCCATGATTGTTTCCCTGCCAATATCCTTGGATGCCAGTGACGTCTTCCTGGAGATTCTGGACACCATGTTAGCCCTCCCCCACAAGTTCTGCTGTGCTGCCTCATCATGGTGGGGCGGGGGGTGTTCCTGGGAGGGATGAGCGAAGAATGTCAGGAGTGTATGCCAAGAGTATATATTCCCAACAGGGTCATCCAAGGCGTGAAAGTCACCCCGGCCCCCCAGCTAAAGCATGCAGGTACCTCTAATGGAAAGCAGCAATATAGGAGTTGCTGGACGCAGATGATCACCTTAGTGACAATGGCAGAGGCATCAAGTCATACTGCACAGGAGAAGGCAACAGTAAACCGCTCTTATTTTTTTATGGAAAAAAATCACATGGATAGAAATTATAAAATGATTTATGGTGCGAAATGATGGGCCCGTCAGCTCGGATGGCATTCAACATGCTACTGGGGAAGAGCTGAAGATCTTTCAGAGTACTATTGGTGCTTATGACATGGTTAGATTAAAGCCTTTGGGATATCTACTTGCTGATGTTGCTATATAGGAAAAGAAAATCTGAAGTTGCAAAGACGGAATTACAGTGGAACATGGAACATAAGAAGCATGAACATGGGAAAGCTCAACAAAGTGAAAGATGAAATGAAATGACTAGAAATTGACTTCTTAGGCATCAGCGAATTGAGATGGACTGGAATTGGACACTTTCAGTCAGAAGATCACATTGTTTATTACATAGGAATAAACAGGAATATAGAAATCAAGCTGACTATATTATTGTAAAAGGAGGTAGAGGAGCTCATTTACAGCATCGAAGACATGACCAAGTGCTGACTGTGGAACAGGTCATGAACTGCTCATGTGCAAGCTCCAAGTTAAGCTAAAAAAGAAAGCCAGTCAGCTTCCACAATATGATCTTGAACATATACCCACTATTTTCAAGGAGAACATCAGGAATCATTTTGAAGTTCCAAACCTCATTGATAGAGAACCAGAGAAATTATGGAATGAACTTAAATAAGTTGTTAAAGATAAATATGAAAAGGGATTGTCAAAAATGAGGAAACAGAAGAAAGCAAACTGGATGTCAGAACAAACCATGGAAATTACCAAGAAGAGAAGAGAAGCCAAAGCCGAGAAAGACAAAAATCTCAAAAAGGAACTTAACAAAGGGGTTCAGAGAGCTATTAGAAGAGACAAGAAGCAATATTACAACAACATCTGTAAAGGCATTGAAGGTGGAAACAGACATGGAAAAACAAGGAAAATCTTTTAAAAATCTCTGAACTCAGAAGGAAGTTCCAGCCTTGAATTGGTATGCTAAAGGACACAAGTAGACTGATAGTAACTGATTCAAAGGAGATCAAACAAAGATGGAAAGCGTATACTGAAATACTGTACAAACATCCAAGATACCTTAGAAGATATTCCCCACTTATGAGAAACTCTAGTACTAGAAAATGAAATTAGATCAGCACTCCAGTCATTACCAAGTCGGAAGGCTACAGGAACTGATGGAATACCCACTGAAATATGGCAAGGAACAGAAGAAGAATCAGTAAAGGTTCTAAACAAGCTATGTCAGCAAATCTGGAAAACGACACAGTGGCCGACAGATTAAAAGAGGTCAGTCTACATTCCAATACCAAAAAAAGGAGACTTAACAGAGTGTGCAAACTATTGTACAATATCCTTAATTTCACATGCTAGTAAAATAATGCTTAGGATCATCCAACGCAGATTAGAGCTCTACATGGAAAAAGAGATGCCAGATGTTCAAGCTGGCTTTTAAAAAGAATGAGGAACATAAGACATTATTGCTGATGCACATGGGATAACTGAGAAAGCCAAAGAATACCCAAAAGAAGTCACTATGTGCTTCAGTGATTGTAAATGCTCATAGCTTCAGTGGATGGAGTTGGTAATTACCAGAATAGAGAAAGCACAGAGGTGAATTAATTTCCTCCTGCTGAGGCTTGATGGGAAAACCCTTCTTGCAGCTTGATATATGCACAAAGGAAATCTCCCACTGGCATCTCTGGGGATTTTTCCCAACAAGCAACAGCATCTGCAGAGGACAGATTTTCTTCAGATATGAAGCAGTGGAGGAATAAGTTAAATTTCCCCTTCCCACAATCCCAAATATTACCAAGGCCCTTCTCTAATTGGGTACTATTTACATTGTTTAAAAACCCTCAAGCCATAATTAATCATAACTAATTTGGCCCAGAGCCAATTAAATAAACATGTACTGTCTGCACAGCATCCATTTCTTTCCCCATGCATCTATTGCTATCACTGGCCCTACATTAGTCCCACATCTTGGCTAGAAGGTTTCTTGACTATATTGTGGGAGTGGAACAAGTATAATGAGTACTCCAAACAATCCCAATATGTATTAGTCCACAAGTTCCATCCTTCCCAGCAGGCATGAGAATGATGGATGTTGTGGCCCCACATATCCAGGAGACATTGGATTGGAAAAGGTTGCCTGAAGAAAATCAGGCAGTTCAGTTTAGACTGCAAGCAGCCACAAAGGCAGTAAATGACATTTTCATCTACTTGATACTCTTCTGACCCATCCTCACAAGGCAAATTATAATAAAAATCTTGAAATGAAACCAATGAAACCTCACCAGTCAAGATCACTGTCTTTTTCTTGTTACGTGCTATGCCTCCTTAGTTTGCTATTGTGCTCAGTTGCAGGATGGGGGTGGTTCTAAATGGAAGCTTTTTGAGTGTAACACACACAAAACAAACATATGGAAGTATGATCTTGATTTCCTTGGTTTTGAAAGGATAGAACTGAGCAATGAAGGAACTGTGGACAAAAGGACCACTTTGCATTCAGGTTTCAAACTTTAAGACCAATAAAGCCTCTTAAGTCCTTGAGCTTCACATCATTCTGCAGACCTTACCGGAAGAAAGAGGCGTTGGGCAGCACACGGCTTGAATAATTTTCTCCACTCTTGAGCATTTCCAACTGAGAAGGAGATTGGGTAGACATTGTATTCAAACTTCTTTGAGAAAGAGAGAGGCCATTCCTCTAACTGTAAAGCACAAGAAGGAAAGGGAGAATTAGCATTCCTGAGAGGATGGTTTTATGGGTGTAGAAATCCTATTGTAGATTTAAACATATTCAAGCCATGCACTAACTAAGGCTGAGCTTTACTGAGGACTTATGAGCAGAAAGAGTTTAGCCACCATTAACTTACGGCTGACAGAGCTTTCTAAGTGAATCTGTAGGCTTTTAAACAAATCTGAGGCTTAGTGGTTGTTTTTAAACAAAGAAATCACTGAAAGAGACTCACTTTCCTCTCAAATTCAGGCTTCAGGGAATCCTCAGCAAAAATATGAAATTTGAGCTTCTTGTTGCTAAATAGAACTGCTGATTTCAGCATGTTGAGAGTTTCTAGCAGGCGGTCGCCACATGCTACAACTGCCAGATGCATCCATTGCACTGAAAACTGGGCTGTAGAATGCTTCTGGTCCTTTGGTCTCCTAAAAATAATTGTTTAAAAATGTACATGGATCATAATCACTATCTTAGGGTACCATTAAACATTAAATAAGTGCAATATATGGATATCAGAAGAGGTTGTCACAGGTTATTTTCATTAGGATACTGAACCAGCACATGGTTAAGGTATCAACATCTTCCTCAATTGTCTTCTATCAAGATCGCTTGGGTTCTGTTCCAGGGAGGGAATTCCACACAGCAGAGGCAACAAAAATGTATTTACTGCTGTCAAGCAAAACATGGGTAGTTTCAGCTGTTTCAGAAAACAATCACAAGTGAGACATGAAAATGGCTCTAACATCAGGTCAGCAGCCTTCCTGATTGTGGAGATATATTTGCAAACATGCCAAAGGTCTCACTGTTCCAGAGGCAGAGTTACTTAAATGCTTTTTCTTTCACAGCTTTCAGTCATTCTGCCCTTTCTTACAAGCCTGAATTACTGATGTACCACTTAGCAATAAATACAGCTCACTGTTTAACACCATGTGTTGATGCCTACATATTCAAAGGACTTCTGAAATGTCCAGAATTGACATGCAGATAGAAATGGTTTATTCAGAATAATGTCATTAATCTGAAAGCATGATTCTCAGCACAGAATCATGGCTCTTCTGGTGCAAAATACAAATGGTTTTGAGATTATTTCATCCATAAAAAGTACACATATTTTTTCACCAAGAAACTAAAATAAGGTCTCATAATAGCTGCTGCTCTATATTGCAGCATAAATCTACTTGTGCCTTAAGGGACACTAGATTTCAGTACCTCACAAGTTCAGCAATGCAATATATTTCATTAATTGCTTAAAAGTCCATAGGCTTTTGTCTTAATTAAACCTCTGTTTTTGCAGTGGATAAATAATGGCATAAGGCATTTATGCAAATAGTATTTACTTTCCAGCCAATTAGCGAAAAACCTACTGAATTATTAAAGGACATAATTGGTTGCTTCCGTGTTTTGTGCACTTTCCCCCTTCCGACTATTCTGCTTTTTGCCCACTTCTTCTAGCTTGTTCTTAATTGCATCACTAAATCAAGCCGTATACCAGAAGTGCAACACTCTGATGTGGCTGTTGCCTATGCATTCCCATTAAAGCATGAAAAACCCTAGCAGCCAAGTGTGCTAATGCCAAATATGGCCCTTTAACCAGGAATGCTAATTTTATGCAGAAGATGGCCCCTGGCCTTGGATTCCTGGAAACATCAGGGTTTCTTGGATGAGGGAATGCTTGCACAATCCTGTACAGATGATCACCAGCTGAAGAGCAGAAGCCCCATTACACCAGAGTTAACTTTAGTGGGATTGGAAAACATTAAAAACTGCTACCATCTCCATCTTGCCTCAGCAAGTACTCTGTCCAGTTTGTCAAAACAGATCATAATTAGTTTTCCCAATTTTCCACACTTCAGATGTGGAATCCTAGAAGTATTTATTTATTTTAATGAATAAGGCTGCCCATCTCAAATTCATGACTCTGGGCGGCTAACCACAGTTAAAAACACCATAAAGAAACATATAACAGTAAAACAACAACACACATATAATTAGCAGCCAAAATAAACAGAAAATCCCAAGTAGCAAACCAACATAACCATTGCACAAGCTTTGCCACGCTTCCAGATTCCCAAGCCCAGTGACAAAACCATGTCTGTAAAGCCTTGCAAATTCGGTTATTTGAAAACCAGGGAGACAGCCTTCTTTGTGGTAGCGCCTTGTTTATGGGACTTATTCCAGGATGACTCATTCAGTGCCTTTTCCATTCTAAGCAAAGGCTTCTTGTTTCTTTGTTTTAAATTTGCCAGCCTTTTGCAACCTATCATTTTTATTATTTAGCTAGTGGTTTGCTGTAATTTGATATAATTTCAATTTTATAAATGCTCCTAACAACTATATATTACAGAACAATAAAAACATCAACCTCTGAATTTCTATCTGGCATTTGGGAACAGCATCAGGTACTGATACCTGGAGGTCATAAGATCAGTTACATTTTTAGCTTTTTACTCAACTTCAAAATTGAATTCATGAAGTATTTCAAATGAGTGTTTTTGTTATCCACCTCAGTATTTGAAGGTAGCAGAAGGAATACATTCAGATAAACAGAGAAACAGATACTGCTGGCCAGTTGCTTGGAGTATCCAAATTAGTAATTTCCAGGCTATCATCTTCATTTCCTCCACAACCATATCTTGCCTGTGTGGAAAGTTGGTATTCCTCAGTGGGCTGAATTTGGATCTAAAGCAGAGATTCACAAACTTTCTTGGTTCACGGTACCCTTAGTGTCTCTGTAATTTGTTCACAGTGCCTCTACCCAAAACAAGTACCTAACAGTTACATTTATTAAATAGTTGGGTCCAAATTTAAAACATCCCACGGCATTGTTTAAATTCACTGTGGTGCCCCAGAGTGCCACAGTGTACAATTTGGGAACTGCGAATCTAACACTTGAGTTCCTGATTGACCTCCTAAAGAACCTCAGAAAGACTTGTGAGCATTTTTGATGGGCAGAATAACAGACTGGATGCATGGAACCCAATGTAATTTGGGGGGGGGGTGACTTGGACTACTATGTGAATTCAGCCATTGTGTTATAGGATTTGTGATAGGATTACTGGATGTGTGAACCCACTGAACTGTAGTTTATTCAACAAATAACAGTTATGCAAATTGAAGCTTTACACAAAGCCTTTATGGCTCAAGACTTGAGTATCTGCGAAATTGCCTTCTCAAGTGGAATTTGCACCTCAGTGAGATCCAGTAGGGAAGGCTTATTGTGGGTCCAAATGCCTAGAGAATGTCAGTATCAGGGTTTCCAAGGGTAAGCTTCCTGCATGGCAACTATCCTCCTCTGGAACTGGGTACTCTTACAGCTAAGGTCACTCTATCCTTGTGGATGGTTTGGAAGTCGATCACGACTTGGGTCTTCTGGATGGCTTTCGGGAGAGGTGAACATAACAAAATAACATTATTTTTTTTTTAAAGGTCATAAAAAGAAATAGAGCTAATACCAAACTACAACAACTATCTCTGTGCTGTCAATAGATACACACACACATAATTTGCTATTAGCTCCCCATCATAGCAATGATGGCAGCTTTGGACAAAAGCACAGATGGCATGCACCTTAGTGAGAACTTCTGAATAAACATGACTAGGAGCAGATTGCTAGTCTCCTTTCTTGCTTCTGCTAGAGCTAGCTTGCATATATCCAGACACGTATATCCAGCAAAATCACATAAGCAAGAACATTTTGCTGAAGCTTTGAGATCCCCTTCATTAAATTCCATAAACAAAATCTATGCAGGTACATTGGAGAGGGTGGGGTGAGGTTGACAGGAACATGGAGTGGCGGAGACAATTCTCAATGGCTGGATGAAGATTAAAAATAAGGATGATATCTCTTAAGGAGCACAACTTGGCTGCAAGCCTATGTAACACAAAGCATTAAGCACTTCAAACAATGCTACATGAAAGCCTGGAGGAACAGTTGCTGAGAATAGCCCTTCACATATGCCACAAAATATGCCCTGGGAAGGGCTCTACCAGCTATATGAGCCCCAAAACAGATCCCAGGATCTCCTGTGGACTCTGTGGCAAAAGACCAACTGTAATACAAAGATTTTCCTTTCCAGCAAGCTTAGATGAATTTCACATCAACCTCAGCTTGATTTCTGTCAAGTTTCAATCACTTCAAAGATAGACAAAGCAGCACTTATCTGCTAAAAGCAGCCCCAAATATCTTACAGTCTGGGTTAATCATGTATATTTCAAAAGCAAGGAAATAGCAGCAAGGAAATATATTTGTGCTTTGCAATGTTTTTGTTACATGTAATTGAAACTACAATCTTAAGCATAGTCATAGCAAAATTCAGTTTATGTTTACTCAGAAGATAGTACTCTCCTGGGAGTGGGATTCCATATAGAGATGTGAAAGGGGGGTGCGGGGTGGGAGAGAGAGACTGAAAAAATTCAAGAGAAACATTTGTTTTGTTCCCCAAGGTCTTCCATTTTTTTTAATCTTTGAAAATACAGGAAAATTGAACTATGGAATATTTCTAAATATTTTATTTAAATGTATTTCTTTCTTTACTGACACTTATATGCCACTCCAACAAGCTTATATTCCCTTCAGCAGTTGAATAGATCCATCCTTCCTGCAGAGATCCAGCCCAACAGCAATCAGAGAACGATCTGACCATGACAAAGGACAGATGTGAATCTCCACCACCCTCAGATCATGTGCCATCTGTTCTGAGGCAAAAACAAGGCCTAATGTGTAGCCACCCATATGAGTTGGGACCACGATGGCATGGGACAAGCCCATGGCTGTCATGATGGCCATGAATTCCCAAGCTGCCTCAGAGCTCAACCCTAGGAATGGCTGATCGAAGTTTAGCAGCACAAATCTGGGGATCCCCACTGCCACCACTACAGTGAGATCAAACAGCCCTGGGGGGGGGGGTGCTGCTCTGCATCAGGGGGATGTTACAACAGTAGCAGTCCCCACCTGTTCCTGGCACCCAGCTTGAGAAGCAACACCTCACACCCAGATATCTTCAGGCTTCTGATCATGTCTGAGCCAGCATGACTCTCTTAGCTCATGTCACTCTCATATCCGAGGTAGGCAGGTGAAGCATTAGGGGGTCTTTGCCCAAGGACCCTTACTGGTAAGGTAGGTACCAGATGGGATTCAAACCCTAGTCTCCCGCGTCAAAGGGCAGCGCTCTAACCACTATGTTATCCAGCCGCCAAAAATGTCTGTTGGATTTCCTTGATGTTTGTCAAACTGTCAAACATTATTTTTTTAAAAAAAAAATGATCTCTCTGTGTGTGTGCAGCCACAAGCTCAGGCCGGGCATGTGGGATGGTTGCTGTCCCATCTTCATTCAACCAGGTTTAAGTCATACAAAGCCAGTCTGCTCTCTCATTCACAATCAGATTGTGGATGAGTTGAGATGTATTGCAGACAGGCCTAGCATTA